TGCAGAATGCAAAAAAATGACAATTTTCAAATTGTTTTCGTGCGTCGAAGTTCGTCTGCGGAACTGAAGGAGAAGAAACTTTTTGTGTTTTTATTATCGTTCTTCTTTTCATTCGGTTTTTTCTTCCATGTTTTTTTTTTGTTGTTGTTGTATTCATTTGTAAACAACCAAGCAGTCTTTGAATTTGTTGGTTCTAATCTGCCATTACAGAATACAGCATAAAGTTGTTGAGCACAAATTCCAAAAAATTGTTCATTGAATTTAAGTTTTGCTCACAGTCAGTGCAGTTTCACCGGAGATTTTACCGGTCTTATTGTTGTTGTTGTTGTTGTTGTTGATCTTTTTTTTTTCCTCTTGCTGTTGTTGTTTTTTTACTCATATTTTCATCAATTTTTTTGTCATTGATTTACACTTTACTTTGTTTAAAGTAGGAAGAATTTGAAACATTTATTTAGAAAAAACTGCAACTGAAGAGGGGAAAAAAAATTGAAGAATTTTTTTTTTTCCCTTTTGTGAGCAGAAATTTGATTAGCAAAAGTTGTGAAAAAGTAATTTCATTTAATGGCATTTTTTTTTTCTTTGGCGAGGCAAAATTCTCATCGACAGATTTCCAAGAAAAAACAGTTAAAACTATGTGGTATAGTATCAGAAATGTTGGTTTTGTGCTTAGGGAACCTTGGTAAACTGAATATGGAGGTGTTAAAAATGATGGTATACAGTGGCTAATTGTATCTGAGAAGTTGTTGTACCGTTGTTAGTGAATGGACGATTCAAAAACTAACCGAAAATACTTAAGAAAAGAAATGTTCAATTGATTTGGTTGCTGAGGTTGCCTGACTGTTACTTGTCGGTGATGTTATTCTCCGATATTACAACATGATTCGTTGACTGTTTGATACTTGAAGTATATTGTCATTTGGATGTGTTGCTGTTATTGCTATTGCAGCAGCAGCTGATGGAGATAGTGGGTAGTATTTTTTCTTCATTTTTGTATTTTTTTTTCCCCTTCTATCGCGTAAATGAGTGCGTAGAATAGCAGTTCCAATAATCGACTGTCAGAAATGTTGGATTAACAGGTTTAAAAATGGCATTGGGAAGAAGAAAGAAATGAGAAGAATTGGAAAAGAAAATCAGGTTAATGTATTATATTAAAATAATCGTTATTCATTACATTTCTATGTGTTTCCCGTTTATTTGCATTGGTACTACCAGGATAGAATTTTTTTTTTTGGTACGCTCTTAGTGCATCTGCTTTAAGAAGTTCAGGATTGCAAGAAAACACGTACTATAGGTGTTCGGTGAATGGCATATGTATCGTTGTGTCAAATATAAATTATCCTTTTAAAATGAGTTTAAAAAGTGCTATGTTTTTTTTTTTTTCTCTTGATTAGGCTAATTTTTATACTCGAATTAATAGAAGTTGACTTTTTTCTTTTCTTTGTTGAGGAAGATGAGCTAGGTGGAGGGTTCACCTGGACAACATATAAAAGTTAATTTTGTCCATATATAATTGTTGCAACAACAATAGGAAGCTACAAAGTAATTAGCATATTTGTTGTTGCTGTCGTTGTTCATTTTTGCTGAAATACATCAAAACAAAACTGTTCATTGAGAAGGAGAGAAAAAGATTTTTTTTTTTCAGTTTAGTTTTTCGACAACTTTTTGTTGGTACATATAACAGCTATGGTTATTGTTACACCGTAACCATCAATGGATATTTGGATGCTAAAAAACTGTTGAATTGAATCAACTGAATGTTTTCATTAATTATTGATAAATATGGCTATCGATTTTTTTCTTTTCTATTATTTCCTTTTAATGTCAGTTTTTTTCTTCTTTTAGTCTATCGACTTTTGATTACTTGATTTGTTTGAAACCAAAAAGTATGAGTTTTAGAATCTAAAAATTTGAAATTGTTGATAGTTGACTACAAACCTTTAGCAACTTGTTGAAATATTTTCATATCTGCTTTTTGTTAACTGTTACTGTTGACCGAACTGAAATTTCTTGCATTTGTTATTTTACACTTTGTATTTGATTAAGTTTCACTCTGTTTTTTTTTTTTTTCCTGCAAAACACTGTTAACGTTCTTTAAGCGTACGATGTCGCATAACTATTGTACGAAGTTATAAAAGCGTTGTTAACTGATGTTTTCTATTCTTTTTTTTTTTATTTTTTGAGGAGGAGGAGGAGGGGAAGGGCAATACCTGCAAATATTGATAGAGTTCGCTATAGCAAATATGTTTGGGATGACAGGAGATTGCAGCCTGCCAAAGTTAACTGAGCCAAAAAGCCAAAAATTTTTTGGCCGACCCTCTACAAGTAGTTGTTCGTCGAAGACATCTCGCTTTTCGCATTCAAGCATCCGAGTCCAACGATTCTTTGAACGTTTGGCTAACAGAAATAAGGTCTAGAATTTTTACACTCTTCTTGTCACATCTAGTCTTTTGTCTTGACATTACCAAAAACAGTGGAGCAATAGTTTATGCTCATGTTTGACTTGTCTGTGATAACGATACTACCACTTTACTTTTCCAGGTTAAAGCAACATTAATCTGAAGTCATTAAAGTTTTCAAGAGATAATGAATGTAGCAAGGCCTGAAATAGGAAAAAAAATTGCGCTAACTGAATTTCCTTTTTTGCATACATAGTCAAAATATTACAGAAAAGTCATAAGGTTGTTTCGAAGTTGGGTGCACCGTTCACATCTACGCCGGATCCATCGGACGGTGAAGGGTCTGTGGAATACCAAGAAAGTCGATACTCAGCTTCAGCGGATGATTTTTTTGGTAGTGCTGACGACGCAATTCCGTTTGCTTTGAATTCATACGAAAATAGTCCTTTGGAGTACGACGTTGTCCGAGTTGTTTCTGTGAACGTTGACCAGTCTATAGGGCCTGATAAAGAACTGACTTCTGAACTTGAAACAGTGCTAATTCTGGTACAGTATTATATGTGTGAAAACCTTTTTAAAAATGAGTTAGATCTAGCTATTTGTTTGCTTTCATTTTTTGCTTTTTTTTGGTGTTTTTGGAAGATTATTTTTGAAAAGTAGTAAGATAGAATGTTAAATAATATTTTTACATTTTCAGCCTGGCGAGATGCAGTCGAAGTCTTCCCAAACTACGGACCGGCACTGTAAAGACGCCAGTACAATGCCAGTCAATAATAATACTAATGCTAATAACGATAAGGAAGCTCAGCAACTTCCTTCAGTGGGACATGATCTGAAACCTAAACCACCTGTGCACTCTTCATCAAAGCGATATTTTAGGTAAGTAGCTGAACATCAGATTTTCATGTTAATCATAGATATCGATTTATAACAACTGAGTATTTGGTGGATTAAAGTATATACGAGTTCGCCTTATTGCTTTCCAGGTTCTGTCGCACTCTTTTCCTGCTCCTACTGGCAGCACTTATGTTGGTTAACGTGAGTTTCTGGAGCTTTGTGCTTGGGAAAGTATATAATTCAAAAGTTCCGATAACGAAGGCTGAACCAAGCCTTATGTGCTCTGTTTTATCGTATGCAGATTCTTGGTTAAGGACAGACTACTACAGAAGTCTAGAATGTCCTATTGAAGAAGAACATAAAGTTTTTTCTGATCAGGTGCTAGCAGAAGCACAAGTTCTATTTAACGAATTGCGCAGGAGCATCGTTACCTTTTACGAGACAGTGAAAAGCAGGTGGTCGTCAAAAATTTATGGCTTCTGGAGCAGTAGCTTTCCGATAGCAGATTCATTTAGGTCGCTAGTTGGAACCTGTAGCATTTTCTTGAAGGATCTGGTTTCAGCAATAGGGATTCTCATAAAAGATATTGCCAAATCACATCAAAATACATTCAATTATACTTCCGGTACCCCTGTAAACTCTTTTAATGAAGAATTGTAAACGTCTACCTCATAATTTTTTGAACCTTTAAGCTTCTGTTTCAATCAACCTCGTTTATTTTAGCAGTGTTATTGGTTTTGTAGGTTATAATTGACGTTTCTATAAATACTATGCTTTGTAAATAAGTAGTTATGTTTTACAAGTTTTTTTTCGGTTTTCACGACTTATGTCGCAATTTTGTTGTGTTAAAGATGTTGAAAATCGATAAGCTGAGCATTTTTGTCTGTGTTTTTTTCTATTCTTTTTACTCTGATTTTGTAAAGTAACCGTTGTTGAGTTTTGAAAAACTGATTTTCATCCTATCAAATACTGTGCCGTGTAATTTTGCAGCGACTGTATTTACTGATATTGTTTCTAAAGGAATTTTTGCACTGTCTAGGTTCACCTGTTCATAAATCTCGAAATAAAAAAACGATAATAAATCTACATTGGAATAGCTTTGTTTGATGTACAGAAGAGAACCAAATAATTCTTATTTGAGAGAAAAAAAAGTAAGAATGTTGGAAATAGAAATTATTATTTGCAAAACTTTATAGCTGAATTTAGCATCGAAACAACTGTAAGGCTATTTAGATGTT